GTCTAGGGTTTACTGTAGGGTTTAGGGTTCAGGGTTTAGGGTTCAGGGTTCAGGGTTTAGGGTTTAGGGTTTAGGGGGTTTAGGGGGTTTAGGGGGTTTAGGGTTTAGGGTTTAGGGTTGAAGGTTCAGGGTTCGAGGTCCACGGTTGAGGCCTCAGGCTCGAAGCTTGAGGGCTCAGCCCTCCACGCGGAAGGCGTGCAGCAGTCAAGTACTGAGAAGGAGAAGGCAAGGATGACGTCCTCACAAGCCAACATAAAAAGCGCCGTCGCGGCAGCCCTACCACGGTACCAATGCGCCCTTGGGTGATGTGATGGTGACGGTGATGATGAGGGTCCCTCATTGCAAATTTCACCTAGATACGGGACCCCTAACTTTAAGAAACGCCACATGATGATTCATAAGATTGCTTCTGATCTTCGGGGTGACTGCATCTATCACTGGGATCTGGTAGGGAGTCCAGCAAATTGGCTATAAAACCTTTAAGGCCCTGCAAAATGCAAACGTCTATCAAACCCCGCGATCACACGGTCCTGTAGCTTCAGTTCCAAATAGCCTAGCTGGGACCTCCGGCTGAGGGTTTAGGGCTGAAGGGTTTAGGGTCTTAGGGTTTAGGGTTTAGGTTTTCGGGTCCAGGGTGCCTCTAAACCCTAAACCCTTGCTAGTTTCAGACAAGTGAGCCATTGCGCATCTGCACCACCATGAGCCCGAGCCAGACCCTCTCCTTCGAGCAGGCCATGTCAAAAGCGCTTTTGGGGATTCGTACTAGAGGCTTTAGGGTTTAGGGGTTTAGGTGTTTAGGGGTTTAGGGTTTAAAGCTTGGAGTTTAGGGTTTAGGGGTTTGGGGGCTTAAGGGCTTTAGGGTTTCGGGCTTACGGTTTAGGGCTGAGGCGTTAGGGTTTAGGGTTTAGTGCATCAGGAATAACATTATCAGTTCTTCCGGCTAAAGCCCAATTCAGCCCCACCGCCCCCTAGAACCCCAAAGGGGAGAAGAAATCCCCAGTCAAACCCTAAACCCTAAACCCCCAAACCCCCAAAACCCTAAAACCCCAAAACAAAACCCTAAAGCCCTAAAACCTAAGCCCTGAACCCCTAAAACCCTAAACCCCTAAACCCCAGTCCTTCAGCGAAAAACTCTCCACCGCCTCCCAGACCCCGGAGGACTGGCGGCAGGGGAACCCACAAGCTCGGTCCGTGGCCTCCTCCCCGCGCGGGCTCCAGCTTTTAAGGCGTATGGGTTTAGGGTTTAGGGTTTAGGGGTTTAGGGATTAGGGTTTATGGGTTTAGGGTTTAGGGTGTGTGGGTTTAGGGTTTAGGGTTTATGGGTTTAGGCCTTTATGAGTTATGAGTTATAGTAGCTTTAGTAGTTCAGTAAGGGTTTATGGGTTTAGGCCGTAGGCTTTTAGGCCTTATGAGTTAGGATGTAGGGAATGGGGACGGTGTTGTGGGGTTAAGTTAAGGGTTTAGGGCCTTAAGGGGCAGGGCTTCGGAGAGGTTTTTGGGGTTGCCTGCGGGCCTAGGGGTTTACGAGCTCATACTCTCGGGAAGAGGTTTCCACAGCACCTTTTGGACGGACGCACCTTACGGTCGTTCACACATTCTGCTGTCCGTTACATGGCGTTCCTGTTGAATGGTTCTTGTTGATTTTAGGATTCAGCTTCCTGTGGGCTGGGTTCCTGCATACTGGCAAAGGTGCAAGCTCGTCTGATTCTACTGTTATTCTGTCAATGCTGAACCCCGAACTCTAAAGGCGCAGATCCTCGCCGTCACCCAAAAAACTCTAAGCCCTAAACCTTGACCTTGACGGCTTCTGGGTCTCTGAGAGCAGGAGCCTCTCCTGCAGGCTGCCATTCCTGCCGGAAAGGCCCTCGAACAAGGATGGCAAGGTCCTGCTGGGGGCTCCCTAGGGAATTTCGGGCTTTTGAGACTCGAAGTCTCTGCGAACTTCGAGGTACAAGTAGGGGACCGAAGAAACGCCTAAGGCATCTCAGGATTTCGGGGTCGAGGATCCCTTCCCTTCCCGAGTTTAACGAGTCCTGTTGCCCAGCGACTGGCACACCGCCCTGGCCACGGTTGCAAGGCCCCGGGGAGAGTCGATCTTCTTCCAGATGCTGGGCAGCGGAAGCTCCAGCAGATCCTCTTCGGAGAAGTCCTCATCGCCATCCTCTGCTGGGGCCTCTTCTGCTGAAACCAGGGACTCTGCAGCACCGATAGGAGTCTCCTGCGGAGTCTCATTGCCGGTCTCCGTCACGGCGCTGAAAGCTGCCGCCGCTTGTGTGCGGAAGGAGGCCAGGGACGTCGCAACAGTCAAGCTGTTCGTCTGAGCCAGCCACATTCCCAGACCGGTCAATGTCACGACGACCACCAGCCATCGACGCAGAGCTAGCATGATTCGGCCGATCGGGGGCTCAAGATACCAACAGACAACAAGGAACTGAGCAACCAAGAGTGACTGACGAGTGACTAGAGTGTGGGGTGTGAGGCTTATACAGCTTAGGGATCAGACAGAGCAGCGGAGGAGGACTAAGTAAAGTTTCCTCCCCACCTCTCAAGCAGCTGCATGCCCTCATCCGACGCAGCTTGAACCATCGAATCGAGGGCGCGCGCCGCTAGCATCTCTTAGAGGCTTCAGGGGCGTATCCTACAACGCTACGTGCTAAGTCCGCTGAACCTCCGAGTGCAGTCCTTGCTTAACCTGATCGGAACAGCGAACAGCCTGAACATTGAGCCTGCAAGCCTCCTGCCTCCAAAATACCGAAGAAACCCGGAACCGAGCCCAGACAGAAGGGGTACAGCCAACTACCCTAGGCCCTACACCCTGAACTCGAAACCCTAAGCGGAGCCCGGAATCCGAGCGACAGTGCGCTTCCGGCGCTCTGAGCTTATGTCTCAAGCAACTTTTTGGCAGGGTCGGAATCCCTTGTTTAGCGTTCTTGTGTCAGCGAGTTGCGGGATTGCAGTTCCTAAAGTATTATGCACGCCCCTGGTTTAGGGCTCCAAAACTCTACACTGCCCAACCCTTCAATCCGACACCCTAGACCCAAAGAATCGAACCCTGGCTTGCGGCGCCGAGCGCTCTCCGAAGGTCTCCGCAGGTCGCGAGCTGTTCTCGCGAGCCGCGGCCACTTTGGGGCCACGGCCTAATTGCCCCCCCTTCTACGGCTATCATAATTACCATTACAGCAATACGGTAGTACTATAACAGTACGGATGTTACTGTCGTGCTTATCACTGTTCATAGGATCCCCTCAGTTAGTACCTACTAAATGTCCCAGATGTCTTCGCACACCGCCGACCTCGGCTTCGGCGCTGCAAGGAAAGAAAAGGAGGTGATCGTTCTGGGTCCCTCTGTTAGGGCTCCTTAAAGGGAGCTCTTCGGGTTTCTATGAGGGTTTCTAGAAGGGTACTATACTCTTCTTGATCTAGTCTGGTTTTGGGGTTCAGGGTCTCGTCTGGTGGCAGAACCCTCTGGGTTTTGTTCTTGGTCTTGCGGTTTCTGTGTTCCCTAAGCCCAAAACTCCTAAACCCTAAACCCTAAGCTCTAAACCCTGAACCCTAAACCCTACTAAACCCTAACCTCTAAACCCGAAGCCCTGAACCCTGAACCCTAAACCCTACTAAACCCTAAACTCTAAACCCTAAGCCCTGAACCCTGAACCCAAGCCAAGGGGCCCGTCGGGCTCAAAAAGTCCCCAGGTCTGCTCCCCGCAGCTCCCGTCGTTGGCGGGGCCCATCTTCCAGTGGTAAGCCAGCAGCCGGCCCTTGGCGGTCAAGGCCTCCACCTCTCTGCGGTTTAGGGTTGAGGGTTTAGGGTTTAGGGTTTAGGGTTTAGGGGGGTCTTTGCAGGGTGCCAAATTCAGGTTTGGGTTTGGGTGTAAGGCTCTTGAAGCCAAGAGGGGTTCCTTTCGGCTTCGCTTTGAAGAGCTTTGAGGCATCCATCCCTGCAAGGGAATGCTTAGTCTCTACAGCGCAACCCACCCCCAGCCAAAAAAAAACCCTAAACCCCAAACCCTAAACAAAAAAAAACGCAAGCGCTCGACCCGCCGCCTCGCGCAGGGTGCTTCGCCAGTAGCGGCACATGTTCTCCAGGTTGGGTGGCCGGGTGTTGCTGGCACTGCACTGTTGCGGCCTCTGCAAAGGTGCTACACATGAGAGGTCTGTGGGGTTTGGGGTTTCAGGGTTCGGGGTTTAGGGTCTAGGTTCAGCGTTTGGGGCGAAGGGCTTCCGGCGCAGGGCTTGCGGATGATGATCAAGGAAGGGCTTTAGCAACTATACCTATAGAGCTACTTATAACCCCAACTACGGTAGACCTATAACTTTAGTACAGGCCCCAAACGGCTGAGTCCTCCCGACTTATCCAAAAATCGGCCAGGAACCATCCCGTTTCCGCGACCACGAAGCCGTCAAACCCCAGGTCCTGGACTTCGGTTTTGGGGTTTAGGGCTTAGGGGTTAAGGGGTTTTGGGGTTTAGGGGTTGAGGGGTTTAGGGTTTAGGGTCTTCCAGGGTTTGGGGTTTGAGAGGTCTAGGAGGTTCTGGGGGTCGGGGGTATCTAGGGCTCCTTGGTATGTCTGTACCAGGTTGAGTCTGCTAGTAGACTCTGCCGGTGGGGGAGGGGATTAGCGTCTTGTACGGCTTGAATAGGGTGCGGGGCGTCTTGAAAGGTTTCATGTGTCGTGCTTTCACAGGTGGCGGCTTGGGAAATGCCGTTGCTCTCACACATGCTGAGTTGTCAGAAAACGGCGGCACCGATGCTCAGCCGTAGTCATGTACAACACATGATTCCCCAGCTTCTTCCTTGACACCCTAGGAGCTAAAGGATATTTGTGAAAGATGGCTGAAAAGAGTTTCAGATCAGTGGACGTGCAGCATTAAGAGATTAACATGCACGTCAAAAGCGAAACACAAGAGCCTGAGACAGGCCCTACAACAATACCTCGTCTGTTTTTCATAGAACATAGCTGTCTCCATAAAACTGGTGCGCAGGCTTCATATGAAGATTTCGGGCTTACGGTAGCAAGCTCGAGGTCAACACGGCATTGAGTTCAAAACCAATCTCACACGCGCACACACACACACACACGCGCGCGCACGCGCGCGCTGGTGCACCCAACAAAACAGCAGTTGCGCTATCCTCTTCCATCCCGTGCTGCCTTTGCTTACTAGTGGCATTCCAAACGTTGGAACTCCCTTTGCCTGCATGCTCGCTCGCGGCGTCGGCCCAAACGTTACCCAGATGGTTGCAAGCTAAAGTCGAAGACATGTTTAGAGGTAGGCGTCTTGGGAGTACCATATCTCTTTCTGTAAATATGTATGTATAACCATGTGTATATATGTATATACACACACAGATTCCGATGTGTAGCCATGTAAGTATAGGATGCATTTACTCACATGTATGCGCACTTACATATGCATGCATGCCTGCATGAGGTGCTACCGGCGTGAATCTACATATACACATATACACGTGTAATGTAACGTAATGTAACGCAATGTAACGTAAAGTAACGTAATGTATGTATGTGTATATGTATGTATGTATGTATGTATGTATGTATGTATGTATGTATGTATGTACATATGTATGTGCGCATGTATTGAGTGAGAGAGAGAGAGAGAGAGAGAGAGAGAGAGAGAGAGTCAGAGTGAGACAGGCATGCATAAACATATATGTATACGTAACATACGAGTGTATGTACGTATGTATGTACGTGCATACATCTGCATGTAAGTATGTATGTCTACAGGTATCTGTGTAGGCAAGCATGTAGGTCTGTAAACCATGCATGACACCCTGTATGTAGACATGTATGCAACCATGTATCTATGCATCTCTGTATAAATGCACGCTTGTGTGCATTAGCCGCTCGTCCTGGGCGAAATCCATGAAGCCCTTGGTCACGGCAGAATCGAAGGGCGCCCAGAGAGATCCGGGGGTCCAGAAAGGATAGACCTCGCCAGCATGTGCTCTTCTAAATCTCAAAAGGGGACTTGCGCCAGGAGCTTCGGTTTTCGGTTTTTTGGTGTGGAGATGGGGCCTCAGGCTCACAGCAAAGCAGAAGCTCAAGAAAGGAGCCTGATAGTTTGTGTCCGAGGGGCGGTCCCTTCCAGATGAAACCTGGCGGAGTCGAGAGGGCGGAAATCGGAACTTGAATTGAACCCTAAACCCTACAACCTCACAGGAACCTTGGGAGAGACCCTTATCCAAGAACGGCGCGTTTTTGGTGGGGAAGAGCCCTGAAACGGAAGAGACTGCCCAAGGCGTCTTCCGTTCATGGCTGGGCCATCGGGTGCAGGATGCTTTTCATCGCTAATTGGGACTCTTCTTGAGATAAAGTGCGACCGCTTCTACAAGAAGTGGTAACACTATGGGGTTCTTACGCGATTGGGTTGTTGACCCTGTCTGGCGCAGTGGGCATCTTCGACTACAATCGCGTTGTTCGCACAGTGCCGCTCCGGCACTGTCCTCCACGGATGCATAGTCATTGCAAGTTCAATACTTTTGGGCTCTTGAACTTGACCTGCGCTTCCGCCAGAGCGCCATGCATGTTTCGGGGTGAGTTGGGGATGGAACCCGTGCTCCTGCCAGTGTCCCTCACTCGTTTTGGGCTCTTGGGCTCCTTGCTGTGGTCCCGCCGGTCGAAGGCTTGAGGAACTTCGCAAAATGGGGGGTGCGCGTTGAGGGTTGGGAGCTATCTCGGCATGGCAACGTAGGGCGCGGACTGCTTGGTGCTGTTGTTTGGGGTCTACGCTGGCACACGATGTTAGCCCGCAGACAGTTCTAGCATACTTTTTCCTCAAACCCTATTTTCCACGTCACGTACCTAGGCCCCCGTGTTACTTGGGAAGGCCAGGCTCTGACAAGTCCGCAAGCCCCAAAACCCGAGGATTCAAAAAATGACGTCTGCAAATCCGCTGAGGAAGAGTTACCCCGAGCAACTCCTCAATCCTAAACCCCAAGCTGAAACTCCTGCTTAAAATAACATAGGGGTCCGAACAAATCGGGCAGGACCTGCGGCGATCATGTTTACAAAAATCTTAGAGGTGCTTTACATAACACACTTGCAGGACTAGTTATTGAGACTCCTACACTAAGCTGCCCATAAAAACCCCATCCACAGAGACAAGTTAAACATACTAAAAATCCCGATCAGCCCCATGAAGGCTCCAAAGAACCACAAAAGAAAACAACAGCCAGCAAAATACGTGAAGCCCACGCTCCAGATGCATGAGACAAGTAACACCCATTCCCAAAACCGCAACACCTAAACCCCAAAACCAGCCCTAGACACAGAGTCAAACCGCAAAGGACTTTGGCACAAGCCTCAAAAAGCCCTCCGCGCCTTCTGCCGGCTGCCTGCAATGGCGCCAGCTGAGCCTGAAGCGCCTGGACCACCGGATTCAGGGTTTAGTGTTTAGGGTTTAGGGTTTTAGGGTTGATTTTATTCGGGTGTGCAAGCTGTGTGATGGTGTGAAAAGACGTCTGAGCTGATACGGAAAGCATGCTATCTGCCGGGTATCCCTCTCATGGCCCGGTAGTGGAGCTGGAAAGGTTGGGTTGGGACAAGCTTAGGGGTTGAGCCGGTTCAAGGTACACAGATAGGGTGTACGGCTCGAGGTTTCGGATGTGTAGTGTTTCAGGGCTTTTCGTGGGCCTTCTGACTTAGGGACTTAGCGGGGGCCTTGAAAGTGGGCCTTGGCTCGGATGCTAACAGACTTCCCCTGGCATTGTCAGAGATACTCTGCTCTGGTTGCCATGATGGCCTGAGACCGAAGCCCTAGACCGCTCATAAGGTTTCACAGAAAGGGTGTTTGGATGCTTGGGCAGTTTCTGATGCATAGACTTCGAAGGAAGGGTTTAAGGAGTTTGTTGGTTGGCTGCCTTTTCAAAAATGTCGCGACTCGTCAGGTTTTCTTCCGGCACCGAGGTCCCGAAAAGCCCCTAAAGGAACCTTACGCCAACCCCAAAAAAAGGACCCCCCGACACACGACCGAACCCCTGGAAGCCCCGAGCCCCTTTTCCCGGGCCGTCAGCATGGAGAGCGGGCTGCTTTGCTCGTTTTGGAAGGGGATCCTTGGATCTCACGGGTTTAGGGTTCAGGGGTTTAGGGTTTAGGGGTTTGGGGTTTGGGGTTTAGGGGTTTAGGGTTTGGGGTTTAGGGGTTTGGGGTTTAGGGCTTCGGGGTTTAGGGTTTCGGGGTTAAGGGGTTTTTTGGGGTTTAGGGGTTTAGGATTTAGGGTTTAGGGCTTAGGGGTTAAGGGGTTTAGGGGTTTAGGGGTTTAGGGTTTAGGGACGGGGCGGTTCTGGGGTTCTGTCTCCAGCCTCGAAAGGCGTTGCGTTTCGGGTCTGATTCGGGCTCAGGGCCTCAGGTTTTCCGGGCCCCTTGGAAAGTCTGAAGGACCTTTGGGCCTTGGGCTGACAGGGCTTTTCGGGTCGGGTAGAGTTCTGGTTGGAACGTCGAAACAACTTCGCGTCTTGGGACTTTTGGCCCTTTTCACATCGCTTCGAGCTTAGAGCGGAACCCGAAGCCCGGATTAGAACATCTAGGGCTTCTTCGGCTTTAGGGTTTAGGCATCAGGGCTTAGGTACTAGACTTTATAGGGGTTAGGGCTCAGGGCCTTGAGGGATTCCGGGCATCTCTAGGAGAAGCGGATGCGGGGGGGTCCCTAAACCTTAAACCCAGAATCTAGAACGCTACGCCCTAAAAAATTGCAGCCTTAGACCCAGAAAACGTGAGCCCCAAAAGACGAAACTGGAACCTGAAACCCGGAAGCTTAAACCCTTAGCCATCCGGGCATCACGAACTCCACGTTGATGGGAAAAGCCGCATGTGCCTCCTTGATTCGGTCGAAGTACTCCTCGGCCCATCTTAGCGTTTGGGGCTCAGCACCTTTGATTTTGGGATCCAGGGTTTGAACTTTAGGTTTAGGGTTTAGGGAGGCATTCCTAGCCAGGGATCATTCTGGATGAAGTCGGCGAAGACCTTTGCTTGGCTCGACTCTTGCACCTGGCGTCCAGGCGGCCCCAGGAGAGAGAAGGACATATAGACCCTACATCCTCAACCCTAAACCCTAAACCCTAGTACTTCGGATCCGTGTTTGCCTTGTTTCCTGGCTCCTGATGAAGCCAAAAGTTTAGGGCTTCAGCGGGTCCAATCTATTGAAGACAGAGGTCGCTTGCTGTGGATCCGAAGATCACGAGGATACTGGGAGTGAAATACAGCTACCTCGCAGAGTCACATATGAGCTGTAGTCTAAACTCCTGAAAGGTGGCTAAAATACTGAGAAATGGGGAGTATTGTGTTCAGGGGGAATACTAGGAGGTTAGACTGTAGCTCTCAGGCCAATGGACACGCAAGCGCAGGTGGTAGTTTCATTCCTTGGCGACATCACCCAGGTGATTAGGCTTTTACAGACCACCTCAGCGGTGTCGTCACAATTTGCGGGTGCTCCTCTCGCACAACGGCCTCTGCAGATATGTCTCACGGTTGGGGCTGACGGTTGGACCATAGCAGCTTCGCAATTCAAGCTGCATGGGGGACGGTGGGAATATTTTGACTTTGGGATGGGCTATTAGCGACTATTACTATTTGTGCTACTATTGCTATTGCTGTTATTACTTTTACTATTGTTAATTACTATTGTGATTACTATTGCTATTGCTAGTCTTAGGATCGAATGACAGTGAAATAGAGAAACGCTTCTGGAAGGAGCATTGGATACCGTACTGTACATAATCCCTTCCTAGACCCTTTTGAACCCTAAACCCTGAACGAAAACCCAGTTCGGAGGTGCTGCGGGTTCGCGCAAGATTGTCGGTATCTTCGGGAAGCCTCAGATGCGGTGATTTGGCCGGACGACGATGGTGACGACAGTAAGGAGGCGACGATCATGATATGATGACGACGACGACGATGGTAATGACTACTTTGCTGGGGATGCTGATGGTCAGCGTCTTCTCAGTCTCAGTTGCACCAACCCGCACCCGTTGCGAGCTGGCGGCGCGCCTGACCGAAACCCTGCTCCGTCGGATTGATGCAGTACCTTAGTGTTCCGAAGCTGATCGGCCGCTCGGCTTACTGACAGGCTCCTTCAGGGCTCCCTCAGGGTGATGGGTACTTTCGGGGGCTGCTTGGCTCGAAGCTATGGCAGAGGAGTGTACAGGGCAACTGCTACTGAAACTAGCGAGCTCGTCTTAGCCTGTAAGCCTTTGTTTGTTTAAATCTCGGTCCCAGCTTCAATGGTGAAGACTGGCAGATACTGCAGGTGTCGATCTGCACCAAGAGCCGTGAAACGTGCGACAGCTTCGCGAGTTTCTCGAGGGCCACGGGCATGGAGAAGTCCATCCAAGAGGGCAAGCTGTCCTGATATAGGAGCCCATGTATTCTCAAAATAATTACAGTACAACTTGTGACCACGGCGATGGGGGCAAATAAAAGTGAACTATGTTGGTCTATGAGTGGGTATGATACAATACTAACTAAGTCAGACCTCTACATATTTTGAGGCATCTGGTGCCTCACAGTTCGAACCCTAAACCCCAAGCAGTCCCGAGCCTCCCGTGGAGCCCATACTCTAAGAACCTGAAACCTTGGGACCCCCAAAACCCAGAAGCAACTGCAAAAATCCAAAACCCCAAAGACCTACGCCTACACCCTAAATCCCAAGCCCCAGAATTTTAAACCCAACATGTTTTAAGATAGGTTTGAGGCTGTAGGGTAGTAGAATATAATCCCAACAGCTTTAGCGGACCTTCAGTCCTAAGCTACAGCCACCATGTTGGACCTAGCGTCGCACGTTGCCGGCGAATCGAAAAAGAGGCTCGTGATCTGCACCGACGTAGGCTCCTCTTCCGGGATTTTGCAAAAAGGGGCAAGTACTCTACCTAAATCCTAAACCTTACGCCCAAAACTCCCCTAAAACCCCCTAAACCCCCGTAAACCCTAGCCCTAGTGCCCTCTGGGATTCAGGGAGTCGCACCCAGGAGTCGTAGGCTTCGGGCGTGGCTTTCTTTGCGGATTCATTCCACATACCGACCGACACTGCACACAACCTAAAACCCTAAACATGTACCAAGATGATGTTGAAAGACGTTTCACGTACACCCAAGCAGGTGTTCACGATGCGCCTTTCTGAAACCCTATAATATTTTTTACTATGGTTCATATTCCGAATCATATATATATATATGCTACCCCCCCGCCCCCCAAAGATCTATGTATTTTACTCGTTGTTCTGCTGTTAAGGCCTACATATTCTCCCAAATTTAACCCGAAACAGCAAGTCTTTCAACCTAGCACTTCAAGCATATACACTTCTGAATAGACTCACAAGCAACAGGAAACAAACTTCTTCATGTACTTACAAGCAACAGGAAACACAACACTCTAAGCGATTATCCTACGAGTCACACATCTTAATGGACTCGCAAACAACAGGAAACACAATACTCTGAGCGATTATCCCATGAATCATACTTTTAATAGACTCACAAGCAACAGGAAACCCAATACTCTAAGCGATTATCCCATGAATCAAACTTTTAATAGACTCACAAGCAACAGGAAACCCAATACTCTAAGCGATTATCCCATGAATCAAACTTTTTAATAGACTCACAAGCAACAGGAAACCCAATACTCTAAGCGTTTATCCCATAATCACACGTCTTAATCGACGCACAAACAACAGGAAACCCAATACTCTAAGCGACTATCCCATGAGTCACACTTCTTAATAGAGTTGGGGTTTGGGTTTGAAGGTTTTATGGTTTGTGCTTTGGGATTGAGGGCCCAGGGCCCGCTCGACATGCCCCAAAATGCTCCACTCTCTTTCCCAAAATCGAACCTGAGGACCAGAAATCAGAATCCAAATCCTCAACTTCCGCTCTTTCCCAAAATCGAACCTGAGGACCAGAAATCAGAGTCCAAATCCTCAACTTCCGAAGACTCTGCGCCCCTAAACCCTAATGACTGCGCCGTAACCTGTCATTTTGGACTTGGGGAGTCCATGGATCAGTGCAACTCGCGCCACAGGGCCGCTATCATGCGTGACAAGGAATCACGCAGCCTCTGCTTTGCGTTGCTTGTGAAACTACACTTATCACATGATACACATAGAATCACATAGATGTTGCCAGTGCCCGGCATCCTTGGAGAGAAACTTATATCTTTCGCCCCGTGCCCCCATGTGCTCGCAAAGATGGCGGCATAGCACTG